GTTGGTTGTTCTAAGGCAACCAACACCTTACAAATGTCCACGGAGATGCTCCGTCATCCAAGTCCTGGTTGTCCCAAAGGTGTTTTTTCAAAAGGCAACTGGACTTCCTTTATTTTTGTTCAAAGACGTTTCGCTTCTCATCCAAGAAACTTCTTGAGTTCTGACTGGATGGTGGGGAGTGGGAGGATTTATATTCTGTGCATTCAAAAGGATGCAAATGACCAGCTGACTGCAAGGAATATAAATCCTTCCCTTCCCCACCATCCAGTCAGAGCTGAAGAAGCTTCTTGGATGAGAAGCGAAACGTCTTCAAAGAAAAATAAGAAAGTCCAGTTGCCTCTTGAAAAAGCCCCTTTGGGACAACCATGACCTGGAGGACTGAGAATCTCTACAGACTTTTAGCTATGCAATTTGGGGGAAACACCCTTGGAATGGCGTGGGCGTGGGAATGGATTTCCAGAGGAAAAAATTACAGACGACAGGAACCAGGAGCATCACTCAGGTGATCCCGAGGACACAGATCAACCTCCAAGTGGCCTCAAGGACCCTCTGAAGATGCAAATGACCAGCCGTTGCAAGAACTATAAATTCCCCACCATCCAGTCAGAGCTGAAGAAGCTTCTTGGATGAGAAGCGAAACGTCTTCAAAGAAAACAAGAAAGTCCAGTTGCCTCCTGAAAAAAAAGCCCCTTTGGGACAAACAAGCTACAAGCAGGCAGACCTTCATGGGGAAGTTGTGGGGTCTAATTCACAAAAGGAAAGGCTCGCTGACTGCAGTGTAATATTTGGCTCTGGACATTTTCAATCTTTAAATAGGAATAGCAATAGACATATATTGCTTCACAGTGCTTTACAGCCTGCTCGGTGGTTTACAAGGGTCAGCCTCTTGCCCCCCCCAATCTGGGTCCTTATTTTACTGACCTCAGAAGAATGGAAGGCCGAGTGAACCTTGAGCTGGTCAGGATCGAACTGCCGGCTGTGGGCAGAGTCAGCCTGCAATCCTGCACTCTAACCATTGGGCCACCCTCAAATCCTGTGGTTTTATGATTTAAAAAAAAGTTCCTGCCTTAACAAGCAGTTTAAAAACCAAAGTGGTTTCTTGTGTCCCAGGAGTCTTTAGCCAGCAGGTGGAGTGCTGGCAGCGTTATCTACTTTAAACCTTCATTTGTTAAACTGATTTTATTCAATAAGCCATACTTGGCTGAGTTCACAGAGCCCACTAAACCATAGTTCGCTGACTGCAGTGTCTGAACTGGCCCTCTCCAAGCGAAGGTGCAGAATGCCAGATTTTAACCTCTTTGCTAAAATGCCGTATTGTTACTCACATTAACCAACCATCCCAGAAAGCCGCCTCATTAACATGTTCTCTCCTCGTTTACCACAGTGAAATGTGAGTTTCCGTTTTTGTTCCTTCAGAAGACCCCCGTTTCCTCCTTGACTGGGCTCTTTGACAACAGGCAAAATCTCTGATTGTTCCGGCCTCTCCCTGATAGAATCCCTTCAGCCTCTCCTGAGCTGGCTGCAATTCCCAGGAAGCCTTTGCCTTCCCCCTCCCC